GTGGAACTGAGAGCAACAGCAATCCTCAAAACATCCAATCTCCCAATCAGTGGCCTTGCTGCCAGATGTAGTTTATCGTCATACCCAGGATTAAATAACAGTAGGAAACCGATCCTCCACTTTTTGTCCAACAAAAATTTAAATATTTAACGTAAATATAGTTTGAAAATTTTCCCTTCACTGGTTGGTTAATACCATTTTTACTATGAAAGTATTGAGGAGGCACGGTGGAGTAATGGATAGTGGCTTGGATTAAGGAATCAGAGAGCCAAGTTCGAATTCCAATCGAATCCATTACATTCACTTACGTGCTAATACCCTTGGGAAAGGTGTGAGTCCTCTTTCTTCCCCCTCCAGCTATGGGTAAATAGCAGGACAGACTGGGTTCTATAGCCTTGGATGGCAAATGGTCTAGGAGAAGGAAAACTGAATTCAAACCTGGTCTTAGAGGAGGGTGAATGGAGTCTCTCTGAGCCTTGGTTGGCAATCCATTTAGTGATGGTGTCACAATAAAAAACACCCTTGATAGCCCTAGCGAAGCATCAAGAATTCAGCTATTTGACAAGATTATGAACTACACCAATCAAAGTATTAGTGAGTTCAATCTCAGCTGAGGCTGCAAGATGATGATGATTGACCTTTGACCTGCCTAATAAAGTCTGGATGCAGCTGAGAAAACAATGATGTGCCAAAAGCATTTGTCTAAAAATGCATCTGTAAATGACATTGAATTTCAAGCTTCAATTCTTTGCATACTGTTTTGACTGCTTCTCATTTTCTGCCATTCCTCTCTCTATGAGGTGGATATTGAAAAGCTCTCAGCCCAACTAACTTCTCAAAATTTGAAGAAACATAAGATTTTTTTTAATGACTCAATAAAATTAAGTTTTACTAATAGCAAAAATCTTGGAATTGACATTGGATTAAATTGGGAAATGAATTTGGTTTTTGTGCTTCTATATTTAATTAGATAAATTAATCTTAATTGGGCCAAGATAATAATTAATCTTAATTGGGCCAAGATAATAATTAATCTTAATTGGGCCAAGATAATAATTAATCTTAATTGGGCCAAGATAATAATTAATCTTAATTGGGCCAAGATAATAATTAATCTTAATTGGGCCAAGATAATAATTAATCTTAATTGGGCCAAGATAATAATTAATCTTAATTGGGCCAAGATAATAATTAATCTTAATTGATAAGGTTGCAAATTGGGCCAACAATAATTAATCTTAAAAATAAAAAACAAATTTTTTTTCTTAATTTTTACTAATAATCTTAATTGGCCAAGATAATATTCCTCCCAATCTTTGTTTTGTCTTGGGCCAAGATAATAAAAATAATTAATCTTAAATATAAATAAAAACTTATTCTTTCCTGCTACATATCTGTTGAACCCCCTTAAAAAATAAAAACAAATTTTTTTTTTACTGATACTATGAAAATAAATATAAATAAAAACATTCTTTCCTGCTACATATCTGTAACCCCCCCGCCATAGATGATCATGACTCTCCAGTTTCCCTTTCTTTATTATCTTATAAATATGTAATGGAGTTCCTCCTCATCTTTCTATTAAGCCTACATATAAAATCACATGTTGCATCTCTATTCCCATTGTGTTGATGTGTACCAAAAACTGGGGAGGAGGGAACATGATCATTTTGACTTAGAGGAATCCAATAATGTTATATCTTCATTAGGTGAAATGTGTGAAACAATTCCAAGAATAACTAAAAGGAAAAAGATATGCCCATAAGATGAACAATGCCAAGTTGAAAAAAATTGATACAAGAGGAAAACAAGCAGAAGAGGAAAGAACGGAGAATATTAAACAATTAAAGAAAATTAAAAGCCAGTTAACTCTTTAAGAAACCAATATATACGGAAAATTGGAAACAAAATTAATGAAGTGTCCTAGGCAATGTGCATGCAGAAATATACTAGTATAAATCCAATCATTACAAAGTCTATCAAAACACAGACAATAATGAACCTTATGATAAGGAAAGTGAGAAAGCTATTTAAAAAAAAATAAAATAAAATAAAATAATGCCTATAGATGACATAGGTATTCTTTGATGGGATAATGTCTACCAAGTCTTCCAAGAAATAGGTCTCAAAATGAACCTTTCCAAAATACTGGGTGTGTGACACTATTTAGCTATGGTAATTGGCTAACTAATTAACCATAGAAATTAAAAACAGGAAAGACTTAAGGTGAGAAAGAGCTATATCGAAAGATAGACTGAGCAATGTTAAAAAAGATTTTATTTTATTTACGAAGAAACATACTTTTCGCACAAGACAGAAAATCTATAAGAAAAAGCAAGATACAAGATTCTGTCAAAACTGATTAATGTCACAATAAGGGAGTGATGTGCCAAGGGAAACAGAATTCAGAAAGAAAAACAAAGCCAACCGACACACGTGGCCACTGGTGGGTGTCACATATTGGCACTGCGACCGCAACCACCAGTGGGTGTCACAGGTGTTTCACATTTTTTTAGAAAAAAAAAAAAATGATCAGGTACAAGTCAAGGACCACAAATGATAGAGTAATGGAAATTATATTTATTGAAATTTAAAAGGATAACATTTTAGGATCTTCAACCATTTAGTATCAAAGATGAACCAAAAATGTCAAGAAGAGCCCTAGAGTAAATGCTCCTGATGTCCGCCGTTCAGGTGAAGGCACTGTTGAATGCAAAGTTATTGATAACGCATACACATTCCTTCTGGGTGATCGCTTCAATGGTGTAAGGGTTGCGCTGGGAGATGCCTTTGAGGAACGGCCAGAGGAAGAAATCTGAGACATTAAGGTCAGGCATGGGAGGTGGCCATTCCACTTCAGCTTTGTGGCTGATGAGACGCTCCCCAAACTTTTCATGGAACCATGCCATGGTAACATTAGCAATGTGAGGAGGAGCATCATCCTGCTGGAACCACTGTTCCTCCTCATCAAAAGCCACACACTCTTCAAGCTCTCCCCATCTGAGAAGCTGCTGCTTTGTTAAAATTGTGAAACACCCTGTAGGTACTATGATATAGAACTGGAATGAGAGCAATGATGGCACCTACTCTGAATCAAAGATCACTGCTTAAAATGAAGCTTGTGAATCTCGGCAAAGACTGGCACTAAAGAATCACAAAGAACGGTACCAGATGACAGGAAGTACATCACTTGATGACTTTCAACAGCACCAACAACTAAAATGGATGTCACATGTAACTCAGAGAAAATAATAACATAATTGAGATGTTGCCATTCCACACTAAGTAAAAAGTGATGAAAGAAGGCCCCACCACCATCACTGATACTATAATGAGTGACAATAGCTACTGAACTTGAGAAACCTACTTTCCTAAAAAATAGTTTTAAGAAAGATTTTGTAAATTTCAACTGAAAGTGCATCCTGGGTATGACGATAAATTAACATCTGGCAGGAAGGCATCTGATCAGGAGGTTTTGAGGAACATGGAACCACTTCTTAATTGCTGTAGTTCTCTGGTGCATCCTAACCTGGGGTGGTAGTACTTGATAAGTTCCCACCTATGGGCAAATAATGAACCCCCCCAAAACTGCAGTTAAAACACTATGAAGGTATAAAAATACAACCAATACATTTGGGGGGGGGGAATTATTCCTGGCAATGCATTTGACTCTCGACAAAAAACCCTCTTTACAAAAATATGTCAATGAAACCTGATCTACAAACAGATTTCTTACAAATACTTATTCTATTCATATGAACCTACCCTACAAATCTTGTCAGCATTAAATACTCCATTGAAGTTGATATGCCGTATAATAAAAAAAAAATAATTGAAAGCAGCACTGACAGTTAATGAATGCCAAATGTTTGCTTGGAAGGAAACAGCTAACATTGCTATGACTTTGTGGGAAAAGTGAGTGGATTTAGTTTCCTGTTGCCACCTTAACAGTTGTGAATTCAGTTGTATTTCTCCAAGACTGGCTACCACTCAAGACTAGAGACCAGAGTCTACCCTGCTATTTAACTCACAGCTGGAAGGATGACAAAGAAATGAATACATGCCTTTCCACAAAGGCTATTTGTATGAAAGAAAATGCATCTGACTTGGCCAGAACTTTAATTTGGTTCACCAATTTCATTTTTGGGGCCGGATAACTGCTACACTACTTGCACGTATTAATTTCTTTAATAGTTTTTAAAATGTAATATTCGCCCTGTGGGTGCTAAAAAGTTCTCTACCTTGACTAAAAAGAGATTCTCCAACCCCTCCCCCCTCCCCACCACCACCACCCAACCCGTCTTCCACAAATTTTGATGTTTTAAAAATTTGAGAAATGGTTCAGGTAAACTCTTCAGTAGTCGTAAAGAAAAAAATTGTAAGGGATTTTTGTTTTTCTACTGAAAGCAGAATTGATAAGCCAAATTGAAATTCTCTGAAACTTTTTTTTTTTTTTTTACTAATTCTCTTGAGAAGGGGATGAATCCATTCCCCTTTGTTTCTATTTCTCCCTTTCTCTCCCTCACCTCCCATAGGTTAAATATTAGTGCAGAGTAGATGTTTTTAGCTTTGGTTAACACCAAGTCAAGGAGGAGAACAGTGACTTTTGAATTAAAAAAAAACCCACAAGGTGAATTTCATGCCCATGGCTCACTAAAAATGTAGGAAACAGGGTTTTGTTTTTCCAGTCAAGTCCATTACGTTCAGTTACTTGGCAAAGATATGAACTCACTGCTTCCCCCCCAGCTATGGGTTAATTAGTAGGACTTGTATCAGTAAATTGCTGTTATCTTCCCCCAAATTCTTACAATTGAAAAATATTTTCTCATCCATACATCTGCTAATGGTAGAGGGACTCTAATTTACTTTTGAAGATTTCAAGTCCCATTTTCATTTTGTGTATATGTCTGGATGTGTTTTTTAGAATTAATTTTTCAGATATTGACTGTTAAAGCAATTTAACAAAGTATGTTAAAAAAAGGTTTTTCTGATATTCCCAGAATGCTTTTCCATTTTTGATTCTCCTCTTTCTTCTCCATCATCTCTTTCTTCTCCATCATCTCTTTCTTCTCCATCATCTCTTTCTTCTCCATCATCTCTTTCTTCTCCATCATCTCTTTCTTCTCCATTCTCTTTCTTCTCCATCATCTCTTTCTTCTCCATCATCTTTTTCCATCATCTCTTTCTTCTCCATCATCTCTTTCTTCTCCATCATCTCTTTCTTCTCCATCATCTCTTTCTTCTCCATCATCTCTTTCTTCTCCATCATCTCTTTCTTCTCCATCATCTCTTTCTTCTCCATCATCTCTTTCTTCTCCATCATCTCTTTCTTCTCCATCATCTCTTTCTTCTCCATCATCTCTTTCTTCTCCATCATCTCTTTCTTCTCCATCATCTCTTTCTTCCCATCATCTCTTTCTTCTCCATCATCTCTTTCTTCTCCATCATCTCTTTCTTCTCCATCATCTCTTATTGTTGAAATTTTGCTTTCTTGCTAGTTTCAGGGATGTGGCTGATGCAATCAGAAACGCCACACCCACAAAAATAAATACATTACCTACACCACCCACTTTATAGGTCATCTTCAAGATATGAGTCCATTTCTTACCATGTTTGTCCTACAAGTTTTTGCCATTTAAAAAGAAAAAAAAAATGGTGCCAAATCCTTTTAGTTAATTACAAACAAAAACAACTCATTTAATTTTCTTTGTAAAATTATTTTTAATTTAATTATTAAACGAAATATTGTCAGTTATTAACTAGCAGAAAGCAGAATCCATGTAAATTCTACAGGTATTGACACTTAAGAAAAATCTATCATGTTGTGTACACTCTACTCACACCCTTTGCCTGTATCTTCTCATTCTCTCCCTTATCCCTTCTAATCTTAATTGCTTGTTTATGGTATGCGCTATATGAATTAGTTTCATTTGCAAACTCACAACGATTTCCTTTTGAAACCTCGTCTTATCCTAATTTGGCTCTCCCTAAAGAATCAGTTGCAATATTCTCATCCTGATTTTCAATCTTCTCATTCTCTTGTGATATTCAGCAAAAGCCTGTCTTTGTTTTTTCTTTCATCTCCATCCCTCCCCCCCTCCTCCTCTATATGTAAAATGGTTTCCTTTCACCTGGTTTTCTTCACTAGCTTCTTTTTTTATCATCCACTTTACATCTTCTTCCCTCAACCTCTATCTTCCACTTCCTTCCCCTCACCCGTCTTGCTTCCCACCTCTCTTCATCTTCTCCCCCCAATTCCTTCCCATTTAATGTTTTTTGGTCAGAAACACCTTGGATTGGGCAAACACTAAACTTTGATTTTAGAAAAGCAGACAACTGTCATACATACAAACACAGAATAATAGCATAGATTTCTCTCTTGCTTTATTTCCTCTAGTTGTACAACTGGATTTTTTAAAGCATTAAGTAATAGTGAATTTTATTATTAGATGAAACATTATCACTCATGTTTTCCCGTTTTTTTTTTTTCATCATAATTTCAATTGCTTTTTATTGCAACTACCCATGCGACACAATAGACCACAATTGTCTATTGGTTAGGACACAAATGTAGTCAAGTAGACTGCAAATGATTTTATCTGTGCCTAAAGGGTCCGATGTTTTATGGCTACATTGCCAATAAAATTGAGAGACTATATTGTTAAAGCAAACACCTGTTGTCATCAAGTACAGAAAAAAGAAATAAAAACTTTGGCATTTTGTGCCACTCGGCCATAAGTTAGGGAATTCTGGACATTCTTGTTAAAACCAGTCACAAGCTATCAGTCAAAATGTAGTCACACAGTCAGAAATGAGCAGAGGGGTAACCAGAGTTCATGCTGACCAAAGAGAAGATCTGATCTGTTAATCTGTCCTTAGAGAAGATGGAACTAGAAGTAAAGATGTTCAAGTATCACTTTACCTACTCCACCCAAGATGGTGCTAGATGAATCCATAAATAAAGAACCTAGTGTATTGAAAATGGCATTTATATTTTCTTTTTTTCTTTGCTGCTGCGAGATTTCATCTTACATTCCTTTGTTGAATGTACACCAGACCTTTACTGGTTTTTGCTCGCAAAACCTGTTTTGAAAAGAAACTTACCAGTTAGTAAAAATTGTCTGATGGAACCAGGTGTATGTTTACACTCAGGCTGTCGTTCTGCAGCTGTTCGTAATGAAGAATAACGTTTTATGGTTAGATTTGAGCTTCTTTAACTGTAGGCACGGTTGATTGTATAGCTATTGATCAATGACAGATTTGCTAAGAGAAAAGATTGAGAATTTGAATCTCACTACTGAAAATTTCTTTTTTATAAATCTGTGTTTACTAACAACCATACAATTGATATTCTGAGTAATTGTGATTGATGGAAAGGAAACTGAAATTTGTATACAAGCCAAAAATTAATAAGAGAGCCATGATCCTTTGAAAGGATTTGGTGCATAAAAAAATATTTACTTCTGTAAATAAAGCAATGAAAATGAAAGAAAGAAATGTGAAAAATAAGAACTGACAAGACTTCATCAAATAATAATAAAAAAATTCCAGATAATATTACTACTAATACTACTAGTAGAAATAAAGCAATTGAAATGAAGATGAAAGAAATACTAGTGAAAAATGAATAAGAATTGTCAAGGCTTCATCTAATAATAATAATAAAATTTTACAATCCTGATGTGGCTGAAAAATGACTTATGTTTTGTTTTTATATATATATATATATATATATATATATATATATATATATATATATATATATAATGTGTGTGTTTGTTTTTATGATTTATTTATGTGATGCACTTTTTCATAAGAGTTGACTTTATTATAAACTTATTGTTAGTTTGATGTTTCGCTCCGGAAGGGATTTGATGGAACTTAACAATACTGACAAAAGTGCATGTCGTCTTGGATTTTCCTGATATTTTTTATGCATACCACACTACTTGTAAACAAACATAAATCTTTGCATCTAGTTTGTGAACTTGATTGGTGAGGGAATGGTTTGTTCAGAGACGCACATAGATTGGTTGCAGAAGCTTTGCATCCTATGAAAGCAAGACTGAGGGACTTAGCAAATGATCAGGAAATTCACTTAGTACCAATTCCATCAAGAATCCTGATGCTATATTGAAAATTGGATTTGCCCAATAAACAGCATTCTTGACAATGAATAAGAATTGTCAAAGTTTTGGATGGATTAAAAATGTGAACAATAAATTTTCAGAAATCTTCACTTTTTAAAAAAACTAGGTTGCATGATTTTATTAATCTGATTTTAGTTATGTATTTAGTGTATCTTAGTCTAGCATAAAGTCAAACTTGTGGGTCACAGGGAAATTAACCTGCAAGACCAACTTGTTGACCATTCATGATCATGACTCCTCATAGCTTGTGTAGTTGTTGTAGGTGCCCCACATGTACTGCAGCTATAGCAGCGGTGGGTGCAATCTTCGCTCTCGCACTCTCCTCTCTCCACCCTCTCTCTCTTGCGCTCTCCGCCCTCCCCCTCTCTCTCTTGCGCTCTCCCCCCTCTCTCTTGCTCTCTCCGCCTCCGCCCCCCTCTCTCTCTTAGCTCTCCGCCCCCCCCCTCTCTCTCTCTCTTGCGCTCTCCGCCCCCCCCTCTCTCTCTCTTGCGCTCTCCGCCCTCCCCTCTCTCTCTCTTAGCTCTCTCCCCCTCCCCTCTCTCTCTCTCTCTCTTGCTCTCCGCCCTCCCCTCTCTCTCTCTCTTGCCTCTCCGCCCTCCCCTCTCTCTCTCTCTCTTGCGCTCTCCGCCCTCCCCCTCTCTCTCTCTCTTACGCTCTCCGCCCTCCCCTCTCTCTCTCTCTTTGTGCTCTCACACACACACACTGGTTTAAAAGGGTTGGTTTTGACTTTCATTGTATCACTCGTTTGACATGTTTACTTTTTTTGTTTTGTTTTTTATCAGGGAGAAACATTGTGGGGGAATTGCTCCTCTGTGGAAAGTGATTCACAAGAATGGCGTCACTGTTGACAATCGATTAGATAACTTGGCTCTCGTTATGGAGTCCAGCTCTACATATCAACTGGATGAGCCGTCAAACAAAGCCAACAGAGAACAGAGCTTGTATTGGATAGCAGTACAGCAGTTACAGCAGGACCCAATAGAAGAGGTAATGCCATTAAGGGTAATTGTCACCCCCCCCCCAGCCCAACACACACACACGCGCACGCACGCACACTTTATCTGTTGGTGTAGCTCAATGAAACAGAATATTGATGACTGTTGATCATAATTATAATTAACAAAAAAAGGAAATAATGGCCATCCCTACTAGCCACACTCAAGATTATAAAGTCTGCAACATTCTGGTCAAAATTTCTGATATTGTACCAATATTGTATAAATTTTTTTTTATAATGAATTACAAAGCAGCAAGGGAATAATGCCACTCTGATGCAAGACGCTACTGAGAATGAAAGAGAATAAAAAAAAAAAAACTTTCGAGAGAACCGGAAGCCCAATCCAAACAGGAAACTTCTACTCTTGTTCAAAAGACTGGTGAGGAGTGTGAACTGGACAAAAAGTGAGCCTATCTACTCCTATGGAGTGGGGGAAAAATAATTAGTAAATAAAAATTTCCAAGTTCAGGTGGAGACGTTAGAAGTATAGAATTGAAATAGACTTTAGAAGGAACCAGAAAGCCTAAATCCTAAACTGGAAACAAGTAATAAACCTCTATTTCTATTCAAAAGACTATGGAGGAGCATGAATCGGATGATAGACAAAGCTATCTACTCCTATAAAACCATTTTTGTTTCTGAAGAATCAGTATCACACACACACACACACTGTACTAATAATAAATACACATTTTGTTCCTTGGTACGACTCTGAGTTTCAGGCACGTAAGGCACAAATTTTATATTTGTTAGTATAAATTTTAGCTCTGTTATTTTACATTGAGAACTGTTTTATTATGACCAGCACTCACAGTGTACTATGCAAAGACCTAAAACAACATTTCATGGATCAGTTGAAGACATTGCTGATATAGGCCAACATTGACCCTGAGATCTGGGAAACTGTTGCTGCAAATCGGGCCTTCCTGATGTAAGACCATGTGACAGGGGGACCAAGACTATAGTTCAAACGCCAACATGAAGAGGATCTGCAACATGCTGTCGGGAGGGCCCAACTCGCCCAGCCACGTCCACCACCCACACTCCTTTGTGACTCTTGCTCATAACTCTTCAGCATTAGGCTGGGCTTTCACAGACATCTCCACCACCAGAGGAGGAAAAGGGAATTAGAAGAGAGGATGATGTTCCCAATGCTCAGATGCAAGCAGGTGCTCACAATATATATATATTTGCATTCAATCCACTCTAAATGTTCCATCTGCCGTAACCTGCCCCATGTATACTCTGCAATAATATATGACAACATCATTGTAAATAATGCAGGAAGTTATGCAAACAATGAGACTTTGACTACAAACAGTGAGATATTGAGAGCTGATATTTATGAGCAGGTTTGAGTGTGTAAAATGCTAAATGGCTAAAAGATTGATCAAAGATCAACGTTTCATGATGCTTCAATATCTATCTAGCTCAAGCAAATAATTATTGCATGAAATATTCAAATGTTTAATATTTTACTATCATTATTGCTCTTGATAGCTATTGAGCACTTTGATAATTCTGTTTGCCTTGACATACGTTAAATTATATTTTATGTATATCAATATTTTTTATATATGTATAAAATGGATGACTAAATATTTTATAACAGCCAAAAAATTAAAGAATTAAAAGAATGACATTGTTTTTTTTTTTTGTATAAAATGTTTTTTTTTTTTTATATATATTTTTTTTTAATTTGTTTTTTCATTGTCTTTTGTAGCATTTTCCTGAACCAGTTTATAGCAAGTATTATAATTCAAATGGGGAAATTGTGGAGGACGAAGGTAAGAAATAA